GCTATCCCTTCACGGCCGTAAAGTTCAAGTTGTGCCATGCAGTAGCCTCAGGAAAGCAGCGACCTCCGAGTTTTTCACAGGCTCGCAGTCCCCGTCTGCACTGGCTGTGGTGCTTGGGGTGGGGGGCAGGGTGGGATCATTGATCGAGCAAACGCGTAGTTTAAGAGCAAGGCTCCAGGGATGAAGGCCCAGCGAAGTGGGGCTCCGGCTGCAAGCTGCAATGTTACAGGGTACTCGATAACAGTTTGTAGTTGCTTGGATATGGCCCTCGGTGCTTATGAGGCTAGGCTCTTAAGCACCTAGTTACTGAAGCTGTGAATGCATTGGGGGATCCTTGGCCCACGATCACCTGGCCCTGGCCCGCATGCCGGGCTCTTTTTTGGTCCCCGAGGACTTTTGCCATGATGTATGCGGGGCCCCGACGCAAATACCTGGAACTCCATGAGACTCGTGCCCTGCAAGGAGGCTGCAGCAAGATCACAGAGAGACACACAGTCGAAGCGTTTATATTGCCACGCACTAAAGTATTCCAGCGTGCCTTGCTGCCTCATGCCGCGATGCGCCATGGGGTCGGCCTGTTTGCAGCCGGCCCCGCCCTGAGTCAATTTGTCAAGCGAGAGCGTCAATCCAAGGTTGAACCTGGGTCTGATGTAGGCACAGCTTTACCGAGGGTGGCTTTGCAGTGCTTTTGCTGTACAGAGTAAATCTGCATGATATAGACAATGTCGCCAATACTCCACACGAGGGATATGTGAAGTCCCTAGAGTCTAGTGCATCACCAGCCTTCCTATCACCACACCCTGGCCCACGGGCCTGTGGCTATGACTGTCAATCCTTCCCACTCAACATAGCGGACATAGCGAAGAAGCAACATGGCACTTGCAAGTACCAATTTGTACAGTAGGCTCCACGGCTGAAGAAGGTCCAGCTCGGTGTTGCCTTCCTTACATTGGCTGCTCTTGCGACTTGGCTTGGAAGAGAGGGCCGAGGGCCGATTCCTGCTGTAAAACGAGTCTCACTGAGCACGAAGGCCGCCGGTTGCCATCCCTTGCCCTCTTGGACCTGCGAGTCTCAACACTCTGGGCAACTGAAGGTTCGAAAATGTTCACGCCGAGCACGACTGTTCCACTCAGGACGGTAGGTTTGTGTTTGGACCGAGTTTGGGGGTTTGTCTCAGAGTGTGACCTCAAAGAACCAATGAACCCCCCGATGCCGGGCAATACAATAAACTCCAGATTTGTCATTAAAACTCTTGGATTCACTGCCTTCCTGTGACTACAGCCGATTGGAGTCAAGAAGAGTCTGAGATCACCGGCTGCTGAGGCAGAGGCTGCCGCCGCTCCGGAGGAGCCCCGGGCACCCGGAGATATTCCCCATTGCGTTTATCCAATGCCGGAAAGTTGGTTAGCGGGGTTGTCTTGGGACCAAAGCTGGCTTCAAGGCTGTTTTCTTTTCGACTCTTGCCGCATGTGCTGCAGGAATGCGAAGATACGCCAGGTTGGACAAACGGTTATACAGCTTGCCGCTGGACGGCAGTTGGCAAGCTGCATCATCGTGCGGACACTCTTGCGACAGACTTTCACGAGTCGCATCAGTATACGGCGATTTTCCTCCACAGCATCATGAATCGTCAGAACACTACTGTTACTAGTGACTAGTGCCTGTCGACCCGCTGCCAGATTGTCTCCTTATTTCGTCCGCGGCGTCCTGCATTGACTGGAAACAGAAGATATATGTACGTATGTATGTATGTATGTATGTATGTATGTATGTTTGTTTGTTTGTATTGTACCTGCAGTAAGTAGGTAGGTAAGGTAGGTAGGCAGGCAGGGAGGTAAGGTAGGTAAGGTAAGGTAGGTAGGTCGGTAGGTAGGTACGGTAATGTAATACATGTATATAATGTGTTTGTATATGTGCGTGTACATGTATATAATCTGTGTACACACGTGCATATGTATATACCTGCATTATATGTGCTTATGTACATATGAATATGTATATATGTGTATGTGTGTATGTGTGCATATATTTATGCATACGTGTACGTGTGTGTGTGTGTATGTATATATACGTGTGTGTATATGCATGCATGTTTGTACGTTAGTGTGCAGGCATGTATGGACCCCTAGATCAGCCTAGATCCGATATCAATGCATGTCCTAACGATTCTTCAGCATCAGACTTCTACCTGTACGTGAAACTGACTCTGACTAGCAGCGACTAGCATCAGTCGTGAAGGCAATAACTACGTGCCCGTGGATCCCGACTGCCATGAAGATGGCGTCGTGTGCCACTTCTACAAGGCAAAACCTGAGTAATTAGTTGGCTCGAGGATCCGGGGTCCGAAATTGCATTGAGGCTGCTCCTCGTACTAAGTCAGAACACCCACATCCTTGGGATGCTTTTTGCGAAGTGTGCCTTGGATAGCCAATAGAGCCCTATGCTGGGTGCTTCTTGACAACAACAGCCTCTGCCTTGGGTTGTCTCTGCGATGTTTGTTTCTGTGGTCGGGACATGTCGGCACCCTCTTGAGATTTGGGATTTTACGCTGTCGTACTCGTGTAGAACAGACCCTCAGTAACTATGCATGAGGTTACTGTTTTCCAAATTCAAGCAAGCATGCGCATGAGGAGCATGCAGATTTCTGCGCGAAGGGAATGAACGACCCGTGGCTGTCACTGCCCCAGTGCAAGTTGCGAGGGTAGTGCTGAAATCCGGTTCTGCTCTGGCACAGGACTGACTGCGCTAATTATCGCAGAGATGGAGCTTTTTCGTAATCACTTTGGAAAGGGTCGGTTGCATCCGAGTGCTGCAGGACATTTTGGAGCATGTCGAGGGTTCATGCTGGTCGCCACCAGGGCAAGTTTCGCATCGGAGGGGCGGCTTTCCCTGCACAACTCCACTCATCTCTCCGTCCGGCCCTCTCGAAGGAACTGCTGCACTTGCGGCGGCGGTTCGACGTTCAATGGTGAAAGACCCACCACGCCAGGGCCCTAAGAGCTGGGTTGGCCGTTTCGAGTCGGGGCCCTTGTCTTTGGGCATCTCCTACAGTAGCACCTGAATCCTTCTAGAAGGTTTCAGTTGCACTCGGAGGCTTTAGGGCTTGGGGTTCAATAGCTGATTCTTCATGTTCTGTTCTAGGCAACCTCAGCGATGGGCATAAGGATGCAAAAGGAACTTTGCAACCCCTTGTTACATCGTGCCACGTATTTTGTCTTGGAGTTGTAAGCGCAAATTTGCCGGGAGCTCCGGGTACCTTGGCTTGATCGCCTTTTTCGATCCTTTTGCTTTTAAAGCATTTCCGGTTCAGGACGCCTCGGCCAACGGTTGACATCCCCGGGCTCAGCTGGTTGTCGGACCCCTAGCAATGCTGAGCTGCGGCAGAGGTTTCGGGCCTGCGGTTTTTCAGGGCCATCTTCCGTCTGTCGTCTGTTAGACCCGAGCCTGTGCACTGAAAGGGAGAGGCTCCTGTAAAACTCGTTTGAAAGTAAAGAAGGAGCCATGTCTTCTTCCAGGTGGAAGGCGTCCAGAACCGTAGAGTCTGTCATTATGAATGTTGTCCCATGGTTCCGTTGAAGTTGCACCTGTCCTGGCTTTGAACCATCAGACCTCGGCGGGGTGTCCGCAAAAAATTGCCTCGTCGGTGCCTCATTGGGGTTAAAGTACCAAGAGCTTAATCAAGGCTCGCTGGTGCAGGCTCGGGTTGGGGCTCTCCCAGATCCGCTCTAATTCCTTCGTCAGGAGGTGGATTGGGTACTGACGCTTGTGATGGCTGAATCCATTTCACAGGCCTGGCATTCACTCCGTCGAAAAGCAGATCAGCCACTCGGTCCAGAGATTAGAGCTTGGTTGGGCCTCTAGCATCCTACGGCCATGGTTACATTGTGCCTGTATTGCGGTGGACAGCAGAACAATACAGGCATTCCAGTTGAAGTAGACGGAATCGAGGGACAGACGGCAGATTAGCTGAGAACCCTGTGGCCTGACGGATGCCATGAAAACGAGCAGACTCGTTGTCTTGGCTCAGAAACCAGTCGTCGGCCAGCAATCGCAGGCAAAATGGAAGAGCAGATGAAGCCCTTTGAGCAGGGCATGCATGAGGCAGGGCGCAGATGCACTGGGAACTGCTCGAAGCTCCCACCCAGTCCCAGGCCTTCGGGCAAGGGTTAACATACAGCCATTGCTTCACCTAAGACAAGAAATTTCACGTGGACTCCTTCATGCACCTCTCCTTGCGGTGAGGTGTACCAGGGTCTCAATGCGCCCGACTTCAATGCCCCGCCGGAGCTGGAGGGCAACTCCCTGGTGCAGGCGCCGGCACCAACCTCAATGACTACATTGATAAGCGCGCATTTCGAAGCATCCACCCGGATTCCCTTGTTGACTCTCATCTTGTGTTAGTTAAGGGATCCAGGCCCAGGATACTCAGTCTTCTGCGACTCGGGGGCTCTGGCTTCGTGCGTGATGCTTGGCGCATGGCTTCTCCGCAAGCGGGTTTTCCACGGTATACTGCGCTCCTGACCATGGGAACTTCTCTGCACCGCTGGAGTTTGCCACGGGGATGATCCCTGCATGCTGGCACGTGAGAGGTGAACTGGGCAGTTTTCCTTATCATCGTCGTCGTAGCGGGCGGCACTGCGGTCGGCTGGTTCTGTGATCTCGTTGGCAGCTTAATGCGTGTAATCCAGCCTGCTCTTTCAGCTCAGCCGCCTCGATACGCGATTGCCGCGGAACGGCAAAAATTGCAGATCACGACCTTTGGTTTTGCAGTACAGTTCCAGCATGTTAATGATGTTAATGATGCTAGAGCTGGGTCCGGGAAATTTCGGGGTGCCTTGCCGAGCCTTCCGATTACACTTCTTTTGCAGGGCACATTTTGCTCGAGCCGATGGGGTGAAGTCTTTGTTTGCAAAACAGGCCCAAATTCACCCTGAGTCTGCAGGCAGTCCACCCGGTTCCCTGAGGGATCTCGGCGTTGATGGACCTGAAGCCTTGCTGCCATGTCGATTGTCGTTCGGGTAGCCCTGATAAGTGGAAGCGAAGCAGAGATCGAGGTGGCGCCAGCGTGTTCCATAGACGAGCTCCGACGTGAAGCCCAACGCCGGCTAGGTGTCGGGCGAGGGAAGTTGTTGAGCCCGTCTGGACGGTATTTTCCAGACGGCGACATAACAGTTGCCCAGGCTGAATTAAGTCACGGCGATCTTTTGAGCTTACACAGAGAGCCATTGAGATTGGCCTCAACGGTCCATGCATTTGCCGCAATTCTGGGCGATGGCACCGTCGTCACCTGGGGTCACGATGCTCATGGCGGCAGCAGCACAGCTGTGCGACCGGAGCTTAAACATGTGAAGCAGGTTCAGGCTACCGGCTCCGCCTTTGCAGCGCTCTTGGCCGACGGCTCCGTTCTTGCCTGGGGGAATCCTGAGTGTGGTGGTGACTGCAGTTCTGTTCAGGAGCGGCTCGTAAATGTCAAGCGAATCGAAGCTGGCTTCCACGCTTTCGTAGCAATCTTAGATACGGGATCTGTGGTGACCTGGGGCGATGCTGCCTTTGGTGGGCAGTGTTCAGAAGTTCATGAGCAGCTGCAGGGTGTACAGCAAGTTTCGTGCACAGGTTATGCTTTCGCTGCCATTTTGGACAATGGCTCTGTTGTGACATGGGGCCACCCTGCACACGGAGGTGACAGCCGTGCCGCACAGCACCTGTTGAAGAACGTGCAGCAAATTAAGGGTACGATGTCGTCGTTTGCTGCAGTCCTGGACGATGGATCTGTCATACAATGGGGTCCGCCAGCATATGGGGCGAAAGCCGTCCAGGTGCCAGTCGAGAATGTACAGCGGCTCGAAGCTGGTTTCCACGAGTTCGTCGCGATTTTACAAGATGCCTCGCTTGTGACTTGGGGCCACGACCCCTGGGCTGATGGCATCACTGTCCTCCCGTTCAAGAATGTGCAACATGTCCAGGTCACCGATACTGCATTTGCCGCCCTTTTGACCGACGGAACTGTCGCGTCGTGGGGAGATGCCGACTCTGGTGGTGACAGTGATGCTGTCCAAGAGCAGCTTCACGATGTCAGATGCCTCGAGTCATCTGGAGGAGCCTTTGCTGCACTCCTCGAAGATGGAGCTGTTGTGACATGGGGTGACCGTCAGCGGGGCGGAAACAGCAGTTCCGTGCAAGCACAACTGAAAAACACTCGGGCAATATATGCCAATGGTTATGCCTTTGCAGCTATTGTGCAGAACGGACCAGTCGAGTCTGTTGTGACTTGGGGCAATGCGTTCTATGGTGGCGACAGCACGTACGTCCAAGCGCAACTGAGTCTTTGAGAAGGTGGATCTGCAGCGAGGAGCATGCACCGTTGTTCAATTCCTGCTTGCAAGAACCCGGAGATGGCTCTGCCATCCACGTCTCCGACCGTCTCCAGACTTCTAGATTGTAGTCCCTCTGCTGCAACGCTGTTTCGGTCAGCCGGGTTCAGGCTTCGGGCATGATTGTGCAACAATCGTGCCAGTATTTCGGCTTGGCTGAGCATGCTCAATCCACATCTTGTCCCGCTCGATTACAAGCTCATGAAGCTCGCAGGGTGAGCTTGCGCGGAGCCTCTGGCTAGTGGGAGCTGCTTTAGCCATCTTTAGCCCAAATGCCCCCGCCGGACCCTAGATGTGCGCCCTGGAGGCAAAGCAAATCGAAAAGGGCCCTTCTTGCCAATTTAGTTAGGAGTTGCCATCCTTGTGTGTCCGCTGAACCAGCCTGTGCCCCTGCAGCGCCAGTAATCCATCGATCCGAAATGCCACCTCTGAACTTGTATACATCTTTCAAATTCATTTTGTAGGATATGCCTTTGATTGTCGGCATCTGGTCAATAAACGACATCTTGTCAAGGCTTTCACTCCTAACGGCTGGGAACTGCAAGTTCGATCTCATCAGTTTTAGATTCAAATTTGCACGGTGATGACTTGGGAGTGACCGTGAAGGGATGGGAGTGGAGGGGCAAGTGCAACCTAAGCTCTCTCGGTTGTCTGACCTACTGTACGGGCGGCATAGTTGTTGACTGACCATACACGGCTGCCAGCCGTGTGATCGCGGAAGTCCTGCGCTTCAGCATTAAACCGCACATCCACACTTGAACTGTTCTGACACCGACTCAAGCAGATTCTTCCCCACAACCACACATGGCCGCTGGAAACACTCTTACCGGCACCCTTTGATGCTAAGGTCGGCTTGGGACCGAAGCCGCCGAGCCTGGACGAGGGTCTTCCAGGTGGCACGTTTGCAGCACAAGATGCCCTTCGGGCCTTTTTTACAGTGTCCTTGGCACAAAAGCTTGCTGTAATGACGTCTCCGAATGCAGGGCCCTAGTTGTCGAAGACATGGCTCCCTTCTCACCCGCCAAGACCGCTGAGTCAGTGGCAAGCCATGTGTGACCTTAAGTGAGCAACCAATCTAACAGAAGTCGAAAGTCGCCAGCACAAGTTTAACGAATAAGCCTATCATTTGCAGGTGCCAGTGCCAGTGCCTACCATTCCGCCTCTTGGCTTGATTTGGCTCAGCCAGGCTTCGGTAGCTGGCCACGCGAGCCCCAAAAACTGCAACCCAAACTCATTAGATGATGACAGCCAGAAAAGGTATAAACCCATAACTATGCAAATGAATGTGGGCATGCATGGGTGCATGGATACACACACATGTGTATGCATGCATGGATGGATGGATGTATGTATGTATGTATAGATAGATAGATACATTTCGGTATGTGTTCATATATGTGTATATATATGTATATATATATATATGTGGTACCCCGCCCTCCAAAACCTAGGTTTTACTATTTTTCATTGTAAATAATAGTGATTTCATCACTTTTTCACTATTAGATTTTTGAGGTTGGAAAAGCAATGGAGTGCTGTAGTCGAAACACTGGATTTCATGTGTTGCACAGATGTATCTTGTGACTTGCAGTATGATCTTTACTTTACTTCTATACAGAAATTTGTTTTTGTT